TAACAGACACCAGGCTGAGTGTGCTTTTTGGCAAGGCAGAGGAAGAAAACCTGCTTTTCAAAACATGTGCAGAAGAGCTTCCAGCTCTTGCTCATGGCATACAGACCCTGAGATTGCACATCATCCACACAAAAAGAAACCAGGCAAGTTCTCTTCTCAAACACAGACCTGAGTCTGTGCATTCAGCAAGTCCTTGAGAATTTTCAGACTGTAACTGGGAATCCTCTCATAATACCAAAGCCTTTTTTTGCCATGAAAAAAGTGCAATTTCCTCAAGAAATGCTACATTTTCCTGTTGTTTATTAGACACATATATGTTAGAGTAGTAATTTCAGAAATATGTCTTTTACAGGTTACTTCCAAGGTGAAAAAGTAGCTCCACCTGCTAACTTTGGAGTGCTACTAGTAAGGAAATGCATCAAATGGAGTATCACTCAATTCTTTAGCCTTTTTATAAACTCAACAGTTTCTTCAAGTTTGTATAGCTGCTACTATAAACTTTTTCAAGATCAACTACATAAAATTAAGACTTTAGTAGGAGCTAGTACTAATAATCAGCATATTACTACTGTCATCACAAGTGTTTGAAAATGTCTTTCAGAGTAGTATTTGTTAAAACTATTAGTCTAAAATACTGGTTTATATTTAGTTTATATTTAGTCTAATTTTTCTAGCTCTTTCCTCAGAATAAAAAAGGCAGAAAAAGACAAAGGGTGCTAAACAAGAGATCTCCATTTTACTTTAGACACATCCTCACCCCAAATTTCATGTTAGATAAAGAATTAGATGTTAAATTCCCATTCTTGGACATAATGGAAACCAAAGGTGCCTCAAAAACTCCTCTGTGCATAACTGCAAATGCTCACTAGAAATTATTATTAAGATGTATAAGCCCTTTAGAGCTGCAGCCCCTAGGAGACAAGTAGAATTTACTTCAATTAAGAAACCTGATTGAAATACAAAAACCAGAGTGATCTGTTCTAGGAGAATGGAATGTTAAACATTTCAAGCAACACCTCATTTACCTCCTAAAATTTGCCAGTACAAACACTTCCCATTAACTTCTTAACAGACTAATCAGTTCATACCACCACAACCATTCTCCAACCTGTTTGAGTAACCATCCCTTAAAGAGCTCAGGGGAGAGAGTCCAGTGATACTGGGGTGAAATTCTTTGGCAAATCATCTTTGCAACACTGCATTTATCCTGGAAAACAACCTGCTCATCACAGGAACAGACAACGAAGCTGTTGTTTCCACTTTCAGCACATCTACACCACTGCAGTAAAAAGTTTCTAATGATCACTGGCAGCTTCTCAACAGGACATGAAAAATATTCTAACTAAAATGAAACCCAGCATATGAGCAGGTTAAAAGGAAAGGTAGAGGTGGAGAACTTTGCCAAACAAGAGGAAGGGTCAGCTTTAAATTACTGTGGAACTGTTAGCAAATATGGATCATTTATTTACTGCAAATCTGACAAGCAAATTCCCCTAACATAAAAGTTTTAAATGACAGTTAGACACATGCATCCTGCACATGCTTGGGGCAGACTTATTTTTGAAGAGTCAGAAGCACCATAAAATAATCTAATTTCTACTGAAAAAATCCAACAAAATACCCCACCACCAAACAAACAAACCACAGAAACACAGAGTCCCTCTCCAGCTCCTTGTAGCCCCTTCAGATATTGAAAAGTTGCTCTGAGGTCTCCACATAATCTTCTCCAGGCTGAACAGCTCCAACTCCCTCAGCCTGTCATAACAAACACTCCTGTTCAGACATCCTTGAACAGTCTAAGTTTAAAACCCCATTTGAAAAAGTTAAAGATATTCAAGGTATAATTTAAAATACATTTTTAGAATCAAACAAAATGGCTCCTCTTACCACAGGAACACTGCAAAGTTCCTCGAGGTTTATATAAGGAATTGGTAACATCAGAACCTGTTTTTGAGGAAATCAGCTTTAATACTTCAGTCATTTGATGAGCTGAAAACAGATCTCAGATTAGGGTGCAACTGTTTTTGGCACAGCCACAACCTCCAAATTTCCCACACTGAGCCACAGACTAATACCAGTCACACTGCACAGGTCACTCTGGGAATAGACAGAACTTTCTCTACAACAGACTGTGCAGAGGTACAAACACAATAAAAAGGGTATTTTCTAAAGGAGCTTCCTGCATACCTATTAAAACAAAAAGAATATCCTAATTATGAATACACTGACCCTACAAACCTCAGCCTGACCCACCATCTATCACTTCTCCCCCTGTGAACATGTGGCAGAATTTCTGCAAAGCACACGTGGAGTGTTTAGTGTGAGCTTAAAGCTCCAGCAGTACAGTCCATACAAGCCAAGTGTTTACTCATTTACTAAGTGTACTGGGGAGTAACTCGAGGAACCTTTTTCAATGTACACATCTGGTCAGCTGGCAATAGGCTCAACACTTCAGAAGCCAAGAATTTTGGATTATCAGGAGTCTTCTTGTGTGTGCTCTGAAGCTGAACTGCAGAGGACATTCTTGTCTGCATGATGTTCCTCCTGATTTACAGAGAACACATCCAGGGTCCCAGACATGTTCTGGGCACTGTGACAGAGCTCCAAGGTTTGAAGAGAGACCTGAGTTACAACACTGACTTTTCTCCACAACCACCACAAGTTTTAGCATTCTTTCTCTTGGTTTTATCACAAGATTGACAGTTACATTTTGTCCTCCACCTAAACCATCTGAAACCTTTAGCTTTATTGCTCCAAACCATAAGCTCAAACCTGAGAGCAATCCCAGCCTGCTGCACTCCCAGTAATCTTAATTTTACAGGGGACACCTCATTCCCTCTTAGCCTTCATTCTCCTGCCTATCCCTGTTCAAATCCATGATTTAGGGACACTCACACTCCCCCCTTAGCCTACACCACACAAATACCTTTACCTCCCTATTTCTTGTTTCCCACCAACTTGCTGCACCCTGTGCTGCAATCCTGCACATCCCAACCCAGGTTAGCCCTTCTCACCCCTAAATGCTTGAGGTTCACTCCAAAGCTCTTACTGCATAGTTTTAATGTGCTCTCTGATGTGCTCTCAAGACTACATCAAGCAGAGACTTCCTGGGCTCTAAATCTGTACTTCTGACAACTCAATTACCACAGATAAAAGCTCACCAGTGACCCTGGCCTGGCCCTCAGCTCGGGCAGGGTCTCAGCTCACCTCACTCACTGCTGCTGAGGTGACTCTCTCATGCTCCTCCACATCAGTTCCTCAGGCAGTGCTCACACCTTTGCTCCCCAGGGCTCCTCTTTTCCCTCAACACTACTCACAAAAGCTTTCTCAAGGAAAATTCCTTGCTTCCTTGAAGGAGTTGGACTCGTTGCTTCCCGTGGGTCCCTTCCAGCTCAGGTCACTGTGTGGTTCTGTGAGCTCTGGAGTCAGGATCCAGGAGCCTCCAGAGCCATCAGCACTAGTGATGACAGCTTGGCTGCTCAAACACGAGTTCTATGCACATATTTGAAACATACATTCTGAAACAAATGTGGATCTAATTTAAGAAGCTGCATTCTTTCCCTTCTAGAATTAATGACTTCATTCAAAGCACAGGGAAGTGTACCAAACCCCACAGAATAATGAGGTACCAGTGGGGCCAAGTCCTGCTTAGGACATTGCCTGCCACTGACCTCTGGCATGTGTTCACCCAAACTCAGAGCATTTCTCATACTATCCCCACATCCAGCACGTTTTTGTGGCCTACCCAGGTGTTAATTGGTAAAATCAAACACACATAAGGACTAGGAAAGGGAAGAGAACTATTTTCTTTAGCAGTATTAATTACAGACAGAGATAAATAGCAAGCAGCTCCTCAAAATGACAATTCAGGAGGGGAAGAGGGGAGAAATTGTAGGTATATCTATTAACTTTAGAGAAGTATCTACATGGCCTACTCTGAAGAGATGAGTTTAAGGAATTGTAATGCAATTAAGAGTGGTATTTTCCCTGCAGGTATCTAAGTGTTGCTGGGAGTGAAGTCAGTACCACAAGATCCTAGTGGCCTCAGGACACAGACCCCAGGTGGATTCTCTATGACATCTGTCTCCTCAGCAGAGCCTTCCTGGGCTCTGAACCTGCTCTTCTGCCAACCCCTTCAAATGGTTTGTATCCCTTTGTGCCCATGACTCTAAGCTCCCTCCCAAATCATGTTATGCCAGTTCTTTAGGATATACAGTTAGTAACACTCCCAACATTTGGATAGAACATCATATGAATTACCTGAGTCATCTCCATAAGGAATCAGTACTTTTATACAGCTTTTACTAGGTATGGCATATATTGTGAGAACTAAATTTGCAGTTGGTTTGCATACTCAAAAGTGATTTAAGTATTTTGTCCTAAGGTCATGAGTCTTGGGGAAGAAAAGCATCTGGACCCTTGATAGCAGAAGAGTTGAGTTACTAAATTTCCCTTGCATCACTACTAACAGTTTTCTTTCCCACATTTTAGTGTGAGAATGTGATGATATGGCTCCTATTAAAAAAACAACTTAATTATATTACTTCTGGGAGTGATCCAAGGTTAGAAATCAAACATTTAAAAATGATTTTTTCCCTTTGCAATGCGAGTTCACAACCATTTAAAACCCCATGGATTCTGGCATACCTTCAAACAGGTTATTGCACTGTTTAAATGACAGTGGATCCCACTGCAATGTAAATACAATCTGATCAAGCCTTCTCAATATTCCACTCTTCCACTGCAATGGTTTTCAACTTGCTGATTTGGAGAACTCTTTGTTTTCACCCCTCCAAGGGAAACAGATAGTGATTTAAACCTTATGACAATAGGTTTGCTTTTCTTGGTTACGTTTCACAAATATCTTGAATGTAGTTCATGGTCCAAAAGGGTCTGCAAGTCACAAGCTGAGGAAAAAAAATCTTACATTATGAAGAAGAAAAACCAGAGAGGAGTTCACTAAAAACTTTTCAGAAGCTAATAAATAAAACCAAACCCAATTCCTAAGAAAATGTCTTTAATTTTCATTTTATGGAAATACATATTTTGGTTTTATTTCCATGATACAAAAAAGTTAAATATCAAACATTTTCTGAAATCTACCAATGCAAATCCTTTTTTTAAACAAATAAGGGGCTGGTGCAGTTAGCAGGTTTATCACAGGTACCAAAAAACATTTTACAAAAGCCCCACGAGCTGGGGAAGGAGGAGGCAAGAAACACATCAGGACTTAGAAGAGAAAACAGCAACAGATGTGAAAACAAAGGAAAACTTTCTCCCACCAGGAAATTAGTCTGAGAAACTTTTAAGTAAGAGTTTTTTGAAGGGTAAGGGATGTGTGAAGTTGGTATGTAGAGGAACAGTGGCTGTACAGGGGGTGGAGGATACAGAAGAGAAAACAGAACAGTATATCCAGGTAAGGTAACTGGTAGAAAGCAACGTGTGGAACTGCAGTTCTACCTGTGTGCAGACTGCTGACAGCAAAGTGACACTGCCTGGAAAACAGCTAAACCTTGGGAGAGGTGTGCTCACTCCCCTCGAGCACAGAAAGTCATGGAGTGCCAGTTCTGCCTGCACAGCTCACAGCCAAAGGAGGTGACCGAGGACATTTAGTCTTGCTTAACTCTAACATCAGTTACAACAGCAAGGGAAGGATTTCACAGGAGCAACGAGTCTTCTACTAGTTAATATACACAACAAGTAAAATCAACAGTGATTGTTCGAGAAACAGTTTAAAGTAATTAAACTGATTTTTCAGGACACAAACTGCTTTGTTAACACCACTTTATTTCAATAAAGTATGGCTTCCAAGAGGTGGGTTCTCTCAACTGCTTTCAACCAACTTCAGTTGTTAAGGCAGTTGTTTCCTACCATGTTTCAGGGACTTCAAAAATTCCAGAGGAGCTAGTTGTGAGGCTTCCTGAAAGACAGAGGCATGGAACAGAAATTACAGCTAGAAGTTTTGTTGTTCTTTCAGAGCATTTCATGACACATTTTCTCCTGCAGAGAAAGGCTCTAGATACATTACTGGCAAGTCAATGTTTACACAGAGAAACCAAGAGATTGTTTATGAATAGGCACTTAAAAATAAAAAAAAAAAAAGGTTCATAACAGGTTTCTTACCCAAATGGTAAATATTGTATTTTAAGGTTTGCAATAACTGGGTTGATAAAGTTAAATTACAGTTTTCCCAAGTGCACTTGTAGTTACTCTTGTTTAAGGCAGTTAAGACAGTGAAGAATCTTTCCAGCCCAAATTAATTGGAGAATGAAGATGAATCACACCAACACCAATAATGCACATTTCCATAATGCCAAATACAGACCCTGAGGTTGATCCTTGGAATACAGAAACACTTGCCTGGACTTAGTCAGACATTCAGTTCCAAGTATTTTGGCTAAAAATATCGTGTAGGTATTAAAATCTGAGAACACCAACCCTTACATCAACCCTTGTGAAAAGTCTTCAACCAAACAAAGCCCAATAAAGGCTCTGGTTACAAACACCACACAGAACACTGCAGATACCAATGCATACAACCAACCAGGAAAATATTATTTGCATTTACAGGTCGTAATAGTAACACTAATGATTTTTTCAAGCATTACATTGGGAAAACTTCTAAAATACATAACAGAGGGGAAAAAAATGATCCCTTGGGCAAATTCAGAATTTGACACTTTTACAAGAAAAAACTATTTCCTCTCGTTCTCAAAATCTGCATCTCCTGAGTGACACTCCTCATGCTTCAACAAGCATGATAAAGTGATAAAGTATAGGATTAGCAGGGAAATCTACTGGAAAAACCTGAAGTGTACCTTCAATTTTGCTTGCAATATGCACAACACATTGAGTAACTTCAACTAGAAAGTCACATTAAAAAAAAATTAGGAGTAGCTATATTCAAAGAGCTTTATTGTAAGTAAGAAAGTAAGCAAGTAAGAAATCAACTACATTCTGCTTCATTTGGTTGGTCTCAGGTGGAGTTTTGGCTGGGGTTTTTTGGTTTTGGGTGGATTTTTTTTTGCTTTTTGACTTTTAACAGTTTTTGTATGATTCAGTCTTCAGTTTCAAGCCCTTTGAATCTAATGGAGTAACTCACAGCTAGAAGCAAAGACCTTCAGGAAAACAACTTCAATTCTGTTCAGGTCTAGGGCAGTTTCAAACAGAACAGAAAGCCACATGCATGAACATTGCCCTTACCTGCTGGAACTTCTTCTGTCTTCATCTTTTTCAACTTTTTGGCTCTCTTCTTACGATCTGGAAGAGACTCTGCACAGGAGTCTGTCTGATCATATTCTGGATCTTGGCCTTCTCCTTCCTCCATGTCATCAGAACCAGTTTCTTCCTCAATGGGACTCATGCTTCTCTTTCCCACTGTGCTGGTACCTGTAAAACTGGAACACAGCAGAAAGATGAGCATGAAAAAGTCAAGAACATGCTGATTTCATCCTCTCCCTTGGAATTACAGAGTTTTAATAGCATTTCTATTACATCAAGGCAAAGAAAACCATCGAGCTCCATATAATAAACTTTCCAACTGGCTTGAAAGTGAAGAGTCCTGTTAGCCAAGGTGCAGGGAAAGTAGAAAGCACAAAAAAATTACACACTCATTTCATTAGCAGGATCTGACTGAAGCCTAACTCAGTCTGAACTTAGAGCTTCACTTCACCCAGCAAACATCAAAATAACACTGCACAGGTTTTTGTTCCACTCCAATGCTATTGTTAAATCTCCTTGAAAGACAAAAGACAATATTAAAATCAAATCAGGATGAGCCTAAGAAAGAAAGCAGAGGCAAAGGGGCTAATTAAAAAAGTTCCCATTACAAACTTCTACATATGTGACTATCAGCTACTTCAATATTTAATTTAATGTGCTTTTAGAACAACCAATGAAAAAAAAAAGGTAGTTTTAGACTTACAAGGCTTTAGGTTTTGATTAAGAACCACTAAACTTGGCTGCATGCAGCTAAGCCAAGTTCTGTTCTGTGATTGAAATAAAAATTAAGGTTAAGTCATAAACTAAAGCTTTACAAGGTATTTTTTGCTTCTAATCAACAGCAGGGACTTATGGTGTTTCAGTGAGGTTTCAGCTCTAGAAGGACTGTTCAATCTGGCAGTAAATTTTGGCTTTGAAATGGAATTTTTTCAGCTGAACATTTTGCAATTTGAAACAGACTCTTTCTGGGATGTCCAAAGGCAATAAACAAACATGAAACACACGATTACATCTCATGCTCTTACTTCCACTTTAGGAGCACAAACACCATTTACTCTGATGAATAATTGGCTTTACCTCCAAACATTCACACACAAGATCTTCCTGCACGAATTGTTCTTACCCATCATCATTTCGAGTCACACCACAACTACCACCAGTAAAGAGATGGAAGCCAAAAAGGACAGAATTGTTTCTCCTACATACCTGAATACTCCAAAACAGGCAAAAGCAGGGGGACACCAAAAATCCCAAGTCAAGAAAAGTCTATTTGCTTTGCTAAAAGCCAATCTGCTTAATGACCACAATACAGGTGGAATTCCAGTTCTCTCCACTGACAGCAGTTTCTTCTACTCCTTCTTCCCCAACCTCTCCCTTTTCCTGACCTGGCTGAATCCCAGCACACAGGCAAACCAGAGGGAGGTCAATGCCACTGCAGGGAGGTGGTAGAAAGTCTACATATTATCCTTGATTTCTATTCATGTTAAGTACAACCCTAACCAACAAAGAGTCTTTGTTCAGTTCCAGCAGTGTGATTAGCAACACTAGGAGCAAACACAATCAAGAGGATGTGGAGGTCTTGCACATCACTGTACTGTGAGAAGGAGCACAGACTCCACCTCATTAAACTGTCCATGGACTTTGTGATGCCATTTCAAATACTAAAGAGCAGCAATCCAACTAGTACTGTGGTCATTAATCTGGAAGGATGAGCAAGTGGAAGAGGAGCAACAGGTGGGAAAATAATTATGACAATACAGTATTTAACATATAACCCCAGGGCAGGGGGTTGGGGCTGGATGATCTGTAAGGTCCATTCCAACCCCTAAATTCTGTGAGTCCATGATATAGATTCATGGTAAGTGATTTTACCTTGTGACTGCTATTAATGCTGTATTTTCTGTACTTCCTCTACAATATGGGACTACTATTTATATTCAGCCATACAGGAATTAAAGAACCTTTGTTATACACTTACCAATCTGTCAATTTAAGACAAAAGTTCCTCACATGAAATAACCAACAACTTCACTGCTGAATGAAAAAGTAACCAGGACATATTGTCACTGAGGAGAGGAACAGCTACTCTGCAGCTGTGCTCCTTGGCAGGAACTGAGGCAGCAAAGCTTACTAAATAATAAATAAATAAAGGATGTAGTAACATGAAGCTATTATAAGAGATCAGCTGCTAGATATATCACAGTACTGAGTGCTCAACTGGATAGGACTTGCAGCAATCTGGACAAAGATACACATATATATGCACATGTAGATTTGTCCTGATTGCTTGATATAAATATTATGTTCACTTATTATAGTTAATATTAAAATTGTTATATATAATGGATAAAAACATCCATCTTTTTGCCATACCTTTGTCTGGAAACTAAAAGTTCATCTTGAGTGAAATGAAAGACTCTCTGGTTTGCATTGCCATGTTAAATCTAATCAGATTATACTCCAGAAGAAACATTTACTAAAGACTAGTTCACAGATTAATACAATCAGACAAGGAACAAATAAAAATAAAATTCAGAAAAATATGTCAAAAGTCCTGCATGAAATGGAATTTGGGACAGAACCAAATCACTTTATTCATGGAATAAAAAGAGAACAAAAATTCAAGCAACATCAGTTATAAAAGAAGATGTCTCAAGAAAATGAAGGCTGCTATCCAAGGCTATCAGTGTTGATCTAAAGACAAAAAAAGTTCCTTCTTGTGGAATTTTATAACACTGGCTAGAAAAAAATCTATTGAAAAATTTCAAGGAGATTAAGTGCTTAGGCAAACAACTCATTGGGGTGTGTAAAACATTTAATGAAAGAATTCACTGAAAATTTTACTCAGCCATTTTGCAGATGATACATTTCTGGCAGTCCTTAAACACCTTCACCAGACAGCACCAAATCACCTCTCTGCACTTACTGCCTTCCAAAGTGTATGTTAAAGGACAAGTTGTCTGTAGTTCAAATCATCATCTGCCACTCTTACCACCTCTGTAGAATCTATGAGGTATCCAAACCCCAATGTCCATTGAGAAGAGACACTTCCTCTAGTAGCAACAAAACCAGGACTTGGTATTTCTTTGCAGCAAACCCAAAGTTTGATAAGTATTTTCAGATTATTTAATACCAACTTAATTATAGACCTAAAACTTAGCTAGTGCCAGGAGCATCTTTAGAGCTGCTCATCTCCTCACAGCATGCACTCCCAAGTTTCCCAAAGCACAATAGCTCAATTTAACTTCATTTGATACGGATTTTATCACCAGGTCCCTCCATATGTTTTTTTGAATCAAACATGTCTCTAACACATTTCGAATTCCCACCATGACAAAAGCCATGAACATTTGACAGCAAGCCAAAATATACACCTGCAAAATCCTAAGGTCATGTAAGTGAGAACAGAACAAGTTCAGTGTATTTGTTACACGACAGATAACGTTTACGGGGAGATAATCAGAGCTAGAAGTTATTGTAACATTCCCGAGAAGGATAAAGCAGAAAGATCTCAGCACTGGTTTTATGACCTTCATCTTTGGTCTGTCTAACCACAGGGTAGGGAAGAAGAGGAGAAAGAAAACTCCCCCAAACCAAACCAAAACACCACCTTAGAGAAATGTAACTTACACACTGCACTCAAACTCATTTTCATGTAGAGCTGCTAGGGCAGTGCAGGAGAATGGGGGGAAGAATGGCAGTGACAGTTATATTAACACTGAAAGACCCTTCACACACACAGCTACACAATGACTGGGAAAGAAGCTCTGTTATCATCATATCAAAACCTGTCAATAATGTGAGAGAGAGAGGGTAAAAATGGAACAGAAAATACACACAGCAACACACTGCACCAGAACCAACAGCAGCATGTCCTGACTTCATTTTGTCCTTCAATAATGAACTAAAATCCTTTTCAAGTTTTATACCAAAAGCTTAAATCCATGCAAGTATCATTTGCCATCATCTGAAGCCTAAGGATGATTTCAGCAACAGCAGGACTAGATGGGCATTTATACCCTTCTATGGGCACTGTTATCAGTCACCCAAAAACCAACACAGCCTGTACAAGGGTGAGAGATGACAGCTGAATTTCCACATGACACAAACCATTCAGAAGTGTCAAATGAATAAAGTCATTTTTTTGTTTTCATTGTAAGAAGTGGTGCTGCTACACCAAGCTCAGAAGCTGTGACTGGACCTGCCCACAAGATCTCAGTCTTCTATGGGCACTGTTATCAGTCACCCAAAAACCAACACAGCCTGTACAAGGGTGAGAGATGACAGCTGAATTTCCACATGACACAAACCATTCAGAAGTGTCAAATGAATAAAGTCATTTTTTTGTTTTCATTGTAAGAAGTGGTGCTGCTACACCAAGCTCAGAAGCTGTGACTGGACCTGCCCACAAGATCTCAGTATTTAAAAACTTGTCTAATCACATTAGTGATGAAATTCCCTCTGCTCCTTTACCTATCATCCTGTGACAGCTGATGTACCACTGCTGATTTATAGGCAAAGAAATACATACAGGAAAAAAAACCCTGTCATCCATTAGTTAAGAACTACCTAAAAACTGCATGACTTCTAATGAAAATGCAATAAAAACACGAAGTTGGCAATGCAGAAGTCTCACCTGTTAACACAGTAGTATCGACTCTGGGAAACATAAGATGTGCACTGAGTTTTTAACCTCTTTCTCTCCATCTCCTTCCAACTATCTTCTGTACATTTTCTCTTTGCCTGTTTGTCTTCATGTTTTTTCTCAACATATTCTGCATATGTCTGGATCTTATAACTTTCAGCATACTTGCTGGTGTTTACAGCTATGGAGAAGAAGAGGGATGTTACATACAAAACACATTGATGACAGCACGTCCTCTCCTGAAATAACTTCTCTGAAAAAGCAGAAGGCAGTGACCTATTTGCTCTGTTCACACAAACCATTTCTAGTTCCATTGTTAGCAGTTGAATAAAACCCAACCAACCAACCCAAAATCCACACTCTCCCCAAGTCACAGTGTCTGAATTAGAGGCTCCAAACTCTCCTCAGACTTCAGGCAAAACGAGTTAAATCTACTTAACACTTTTCTTTTAAATTAGAAACTATCAATTCCTCAGCCGTAACCCTCTTCCAGATTGCTTGTTGGCAAGGAAAGATTTCCTGGATTTTTTCCCTTTTAGTCTCATTACTTAACCCAGCAGGTTTGTTTTGCAAGTCTGCCAGGAAAAGACAGCATTTGCAAAGCCTTTGCCAAAACTCTGCTTGATTGCTGTGAAACATAAGCTTATTTGAGCTGCATTTTTGGTTGCACAAGATATCCATGCAAGAAGCACTTAGTTAATATCCAGCTGTTCCATCCTTGTCTTTTCCTGATGTTTGGTCTCTAAGAAAGACTGTGAGTTCAAGGTAGAAGGATTTCTGTCAATGCAAAATTAGAATCGCTTTAAAAATAAAGAAAAAAATTTCACTGCCTGCACTCAGCAACAATTTAACAACATTCCTTCCAGTCCCAGCATCTTCACAGCTCTCAGTCTGTGAGCCAAGCCCTGGCCTCATGCCACAGCTCCAACAGATGAATCAGCAAATTAAACTGACTGTCAACTGGTGTCTTCTGCTGCTTTCAGCCCAGCACACTGAAAGAAAGTATTGTAAACCAACCAGGAAACCAGTTTAAATATAAACCAAAACCAAACCAACAAACCCCGGAAAACCAGTTTAAATACAAACCAAAACCAAACCAACAAACCCCGGATTGTTTTTTCGGACACTTGGGCTGCACATTTTAAAATACCAAAAATTGTAGCGGAGGCAAAATTCTGATTTTATTATGTACTTCCCTTTTTTTGCAGCAATTTCCGATGTGTTAACTCTGACTCTAGCTGAAGTGTTGCTCTCTTGAATCCAGGTATTCTGTGCTACCTCTGGTCCAAGCACTAGTAATGGGAAGCACCAACATGATGTTTCAGACAAGGGGAGAGATGGGTGGATTTGTTTTTTTCTCCTCTTTCAGGAAAAATCCTTTATTCTGCATATTTGCTGTGTTACAGTGGAAGGAATTACCTCCAAAAGCTGCTCTGGCACACAGATGCTGCTGCTGGAAAGTCTTTGTAAGGTATATAAAACTGGGCAAGAGTGTTGTGTATTTAATTTTAATCCCAAATTATGCTCAATAGCCTCATGAGATCATTGCAGTAATCAAAGAGGTGTTGGACACACCTCCTTTCCCCTCCCTTGTATCTGTTTTGAACTGTGAGGTTACAGGATGTGCCTGTGAGAGTTAGGAGAGTATTTATTGCCCATGAAGTTGGTGCAGGCACCATGAATGAATCAATGAGGCTCACTGGAGTTTACTGCATGCCAGTTGACATTCCTCTTGGTAAAATTTGTTTAGTTAAACTCAAGTATGTTTTCACTTGCTAAAATGAAGCACAGAGTTACCATGGATCATCTGATACACAGTCATTTGTTAGAACACAATAACCACTGCACACTATTTGTTTTGTTACAAACCATGAACCAAAGTTTTGGGTCTTCCATTTAATTCCCCGACAAGCTCAGCCCTTTTTTAAGTGGGGAAAAAAAATCATACACAGCCTAAAGATAATTTTAAAATCAGTATGTGTAAGAGTCAGTATCTTTGAACAAAAACAACTCTGCTTTCTTGAAATAAGGCCTATTCAGAGGACACACACAAATATAGACACACATATATAGTCATCATTAAATGTTACATGCTGAACATGCTGCTGCATCACTGAGCCTCTGAAATGAAAGCATATGGAGAAGCCTAAGGAGCCACACAGATAAATCAGTCTTGTCTGGTCTTGAACTGAAGAGCAGCTCCCTGTAAGGGCTTAAAATACATTTTCTCTGATGCTTTTTTGATGAATGCTGTCCCTACTGCCAAAGAAAGCAAACAGAATCATGTGGCTCTGCACTGCTCACACTAGAAATGCATTGCTAGAAAGCTTTGTGAACTCTAACCAACCAAAGAGAACTTTGGGGGGTTATTTACTTCTGTATTTGAATTGTAAGAGAGGAGACAAATCCTTCTGTGTGAACCTGACCCAGTAATCAACCCCACATGGCTGCAGGTCATGACACACTAACTGCAGCCCTAAAGTGTCTTATAGTAGAAAAATAATAATAATAATAATAGGAGATTATTTGAGGCAAAGCATTTCCAGAGGAGGCACCTTCCCTAGTTATTGGGCAAGACATTGAAAGGCTGACTGTCACTGAGTGATCCAGGAGGAATGTGTACAAGGCCACTCTTTGGCCAAGTCCTTGTTTTATACAGAGCAAACTCCTGACAGATGGTCACTGACAGTATTAAGCCTCTTAATAAAGAGATGAGTAAGTTAGTGAACTGTGTAGGTTAAAAAAACCCCACAGTATACAAATAAGTAAACACACAGAGCTACACAGATTAAAGCTGCAATAGTAAACACTCAAGCTGATGAAATACTGATGTAAAAATTCACCTGTGAAGCCTTAAAGTGACCCCTGTATTGATGCTGTATTAATCTTGTCTGAACCTGAGACCACTGCCACAACCACAGTGCTCAAGTAAGTTCTACCTACATCAGTGTTTTGAAGGAATCCTGGGATTAACTATGGAGTTATTGCTCTGTGTGTGTGTTACTCTTAGCCCTGACAACACAGCAATTTCAAAAAACAGCTAAGTGTACTGGATCAGATAATTTTCTCAAGTCTGGTTACAAAAATTGGAAAAAAAAAAATTAAATTGTTTAGGGAAAAACCTCAAACAACCCCCAAATCAACGGAGGTAAAACACTGCATTAATCTTTGGCATCCATGATGAAAATATTAACTTTGTAAAAGCCACTGACTGCACAGGAACACAAATTAGGGTTGGTGAAGATGTGTTTTCTTGCTCTAAAGGATCTGTATGTTAGGCACTGATGGAGAAGAGTAATTTACCAAGTTGAGGTATCCATAGTTCTGAATTATATTTAGTAATAGCAACTCTCTGCAGGCTGTGCCAAAACTGAAAACACCTATTTGTACATGGAGCTGCTCACCCCTTTGCTTCCTCTCCTGCATTAGCCTAAGATAGAAGGTGCCCATACAGATACTAAAATAGACTTTATATAAAGAGTGTTTCACATAGGTTGTCATCTCTCTTGATATGTGAATCCAGAGCAGGGAGCAGCAGCAATGTGGTGACACAGCAGCTGCTCACTTTGCAAAGGAGGATGGCAAGGAGAGCAAACCAAAGTAAGTCCTGCAATCTCCACGTTGGGGATAATGGAAAAATGAAAGGTGATCTGAAAGAAAATGGTTTTACAGGACAAAGAATGCCAAGTACAAAGCCTGGCAGG